GCGCACACACACACTTCCCCACCTGTGTGCAAGCGTTCTCTGTCCCTCCCCCGCCCCACCCCACTGTGCGCCCACGCGCGCACGCAAATCTATGGGGTGAATTTGTAATTGCCGATACATTATATTTTGTTCAAAAAACACACAATTTATAGACAGTCAGTCAATGTGGCGTTTTATAAATTCCTACTTTAGAAATAAAACCAGTTTGAGTCCAAATCAAAATGCAAACAGATTCTAACCAAGGCCTCACATGTATCATAGATTGTCTGACCTAAAATGTCACCTCCTCTTTATACTAATAAAACCTTTAGTTGTCTCAGACCAGTGACTTGAAACAACTTCAGGGATTTACATATTAATCAATTAAAACCTTCTAACTCATTAAAGGTTTATCAGCATTTTAGGATTGTTTAATACATCCTCATCAGTTGCGTGACCATTTGATCTTTTACTTATCAATTCTGTGTGCTTCTTTCTCACATGACCTGACAAAGGGGCTATGCTCCAAAAGCTTGTTTTCAAATAAACCTGTTGGACTATAACCTGGTGTTGTGTGACTTTTGATCTTGTCCACCCCCATCCAACGCTGGCACCTCCACAGCATTCCAGCTGATAAGCAGATAGATGCTTCAGTTTGCAAACACTGAGTCTTCACTGTTCAACAGCAGACAGTGCAATAGCTTAGTCTAAAGGCCCACATCGAATCATAGAGGTCTTACAGCACAGGAAAAAGCCCTTTGGCCCATCATGTCTGCGCCAATGAAAACGCACCACTCATTCTAATTCCATTTTCCAGCACTTGGCTGCTAGTTTTGTATGCCCTGACATTGCAAGTGTGCTTATTAAATATTATGAGGGTTTCTGCTTCTACCACCCTTATAGGTAATGTGTTCCAGACTTCCATGACCCTCTGGGAGATAAAGTTTTTCCTCACATCTCCTGCCCCTTACCTTAAAACTATGCCACCTAGATATCGATCTGTCTGTCAAGGGGAAAGATTTCTTCCCCTTTACCCTCTATGTGCCTTATAATTTTACACATCTTAACCATGTCCCAACTCAATTTCCTCTGCTCCTTGTTGAGTTGACTTGAATTGTTACATACTCAAGTGAATATAGGAAAAAGTTTACAAGTCACCGCCTATGGTGCCAACATTACAAGGTACTTAGGTACAGATTCTTCAGATCAAGTTCTCAGGAAAAACGAAAGTATGTTCTTTATGTTGAATGATAGATGCTTTATGTAATCAGAAGATTTTTGCACCATCAGTACTTTGCTGAAATGGTTGATTAGATTATAGAGAAAAGATATGTGAATCTGAAGTTCTTTGTGACGCCAAGCATTCATTTGTAATAATGTAATTGGTCCTCTGACTTCAGAACTACTGCTTCATAACCAAGTAATTGGCCAGAAATATACTGGAGAGACAAAAAAGTCTTTAGTTTTCTTATTGTGCCTCCATGCATCAGCTCCTTTGTCAGATGTTGCCTCAAGTACTCTGCATTTGGCCAGGCCTGCAATCCTGCTCTGACCCAGTTACAGGAATTGTGGAAGAGGCAATGCTTGTCTCTTAATCTACATGGCATATACATGTTGGGATAGCTAACTAAAATCTGTCATTGACTCTAATTGCAATCTAACCAAGCTTCTAAACAGTTTAAAAAAAACTATGCTTTTGAGTTATATTCATCTAGAAATGAATGTGTTTTATTGACCCATTTTGCTACTTGAATGATTTATATATTTTTTTGCAAAGACAAGTGGTCTAAGAGATTTCTTTACCAATATTTCTGACTGACCCAAAACACACACTCTTCAAAATCCTGTACTGGATATTAACTTTGTGTTAGTGGCAGCACTCTCACCTCTGAGTCTGAAGGACATGAGCATATAGTTTAGGTGGCCACTGCAGCACAGTGCTGAGGGAATGCTACACTCGGAGGTCTTACCTTTCAGATGAGGTATTAAACAAAGTCCTGTCCTCTCAGGTGGTTAGAACAATGCCATGGCACTATTTGGAGGAAGAGCAGGAAGGTTTGCCCCAGTGTTCAAACCAACATCTTGAAAGCACTGTCTGGTCATTGTCTCATTGATGTTTGTGGGACTTTGTGAGCAAATAGGCTGCTATGTTTTCTTAAAGTACAACAGTGACTGTTCTTTAAAAGTACTTCATTCGTGTAACGTACTTTGGACTATCCTGATGTAATGGAAGTTGCTATATAAATACAATTTCTTTTTTCCTGTTAGCAGAAAAACTACAGCACATTCTCACTTAAAAGTTGTGGTTGCATTCCTGAAATTTGTGATTTGAAAAACATGGTTTCCAACAGGAATTGACTTTAAAGCCAAGATTGTGTTCCTGAGGACATTTCTTGCCTGGAAACAGTCTAAAAATGAAATAATGTGCGTAACGTGTTACGCACTTTGCATTCAAAGCAGATATAACTTATGAAATAAATCACTGAATGTAGCAAATAATGTATAAATTCAAATTAAGCACTTTCACCCGTCCTCCTCAAGCAATCACTCTTGCTCAATGTTGACTTGCTTCTGTTCCAGCTTCATGGGTTCTGAACGACTGCTAAGTCCAATACTCAATCTCAAGTCCCTGCTGTATGTGTAGGTGTTGCTTGGAAGGTCAATGTCTTTTCGCACTGGTACTTTCCCAAATAAATCTTCTCCCATTTTTGTTGGAGACTGAGTTTCTGCAGATCTTTGATATCTTTAGAAATGCTTGAGGACATCCCTAGTTAATGGCATAGTTGATCCCTGTGTTTATTGTGGCACTGTGCTCTCTGGGTCACTCTCATGAAGATTTCTATCTCACCTCAAAAATCTTGGCAGTTGTTTCTTTGTCAAAACTCAGCTGGTGGTGTTTCACCACGGTCTTCTTTAATTCTTATTGATTCTTGATCTGTGATCAATCCACCTCATGGGATGCAAGCAATTCTACAATGTCAGCCTCCCTTGCCAAGGTCATGATTTCATGCTGAACTGTAGGACAGTATCCTGAGATTTTGTTTTTGGCTACTGACACACTTGGGCCACAAACCTCATCTCACCCTGTTCAAACACAATGATATGACTTCATCCCAAGAATCAATAGTATTGTCAATGCCTTTGAGGATGGTGTAGCCATATCATAATTCCCTGACTGGCTCATTCTCACCATTTGTTAATGAGTTGGGTGAAGGTACAGCAGAGATGGTCAGCTTTGAATGCTACTTTTGCTCACTAACCCATTGGCTCTATCAATTAAATCTTTAAAAATATGAAAAGCACCTTCACATTTTGAAGAACTTCTTCAGGCTGATCGGATTACCTGGGTAATTTATCCAATAAAGCAATATTTTAAAGGAAAAAGTTTCTGTGGCATGATATGCCCTCTAGGATGGGATGGCATAGAGAGAAAAAAATTCCAAAAGAGCACCCCCATCATCCAGGTATGAAGTGACTGTCTTGTGAGGTGAGCTTGAGTAGATTCCACCTGTACTTGTTGGAACATAGAAGAATGAGAAGTAACTAGTGAAACTTACAAGATTCTTAGGGGATTTGACAGCTGTTTTCCCCTTGTAAGAGAATCCAGGAACAGAGGACGTAATTGCAGAATAAGGGCTCTTGCATTCAAGACAGATGAGGAATTTCTCCTGAGAGTTGTGAATCTGAGGAATTCTTTACCTCAGAGGATTGTTGAGGCCTTTTGGAAATCTTTACAAACGGAATAAGCCAGCAATTAAGCACAAGTGGGACTGATTGTGTTTGAGGACCATGAGTTGAACATTGCTTTAATACTCCTTAACGCAGAGTTTAAAAGTTGTTCCATCTTGTATTGAAACTAGTTTTCATTATTATTGAAATGATTTCTTAAATTTTAAGACAACTTTTATTAAAAACAACAAAAGTAGACGCTGTGCTGCATCTTCCTGTATTTGTACAATTACATATTCAAGTAGATTAACTTAATTAAGCTGAGTTTCTCCAGCATTCTCTGTTTATTTCAGATTTCCACCATATGAAGTATTTTGCCTTCATTCAAAAGTTGTTCAGATTAGTCAACTTGTTTATGCAATCTATATAAAGGTCCACACACTGAACATTGACCCTACAGTAAAATTGTACAGTTAATCTTAGCATTATGCAACAAAATGGAGGCCATTTGGTCCATTGTGCCTGTGCTTGTTCTTTGAAAGAAATATCTTTCAAATGCTTCCACTTTGAACGTTTACCCATCTCCCAATTCATATTTATTGTTGAATTTGTTTCTGCCACCTTTTTAGGCAGTACCTTCCACATCACCATAACTCACTGCTTTAAAAAAAAGTTCCTCCACCTGTGGTTGTTCTGCTAATAATCTTAAATATGTGTTTTCTATCATCAAGTTTTCTACCATCGAGGAATAGTTTCTCCTTACTAACAATGACAAATGTTGACAGAAAATCATATCAGTAATCTTAACTACTGGTCATAGTTTTTTTTTATGGACCTGAAGTGCATATTCTATATAAGATTTTTAAAAATACCGGGAGGTGATGGCTAGTGGTATTATCGTTGGACTGTTAATCCAGAGACCTAGATAATATTCTGAGGACCCGGGTTCAAATCCCACCATGGCAGATGGTGGAATTTGAATTCAATGAAATATCTGGAATTAAGAATCTAATGGTGACCATGAATCTATTGTCAATTGTTGGAAAAACCCACCTGGTTCACTAATGTCCTTTAAGGAAGGGACCTGCCTTCCTTAACTGGTTTGGCCTCTATGTGACTCCAGATTCTCAGTAATGTGGTTGACTCTTAACTGCCCTCTTGGCAATTAGGGATGGGCAATAAATGCTGCCTAGCCAACGACACTCTCATCCCGTGAATGAATAAAGAAAAAAATCACAACTAAGAGCAAACATTCAGTGCCTGCTCAGAGTTATTAAATTCCACTAAATTATATTGGTGGAGTGAAATCTCAGTGCAAATTTTATTACAATGCCTAGTTGAAATATCAAAAACCTTCAATTGTACAACTCTAGATCTTTGGCTACCTAATGACAATTATAGCATCAGAACTGCTGCTGCAGACTCCGATCAGCAAGCTAATGGTATTTCAGGGAGGCAACTTGCAACTTCTGACCTGGATGATTTAATAACTGTGGAGTGGATTATTCAGTCAAGAATGTCTTCTGTGTCTGTATTCCACATGTAGTCAGTTCTGATATTATTGTGCGTAGTCAACTAGGGGGAGGAAATGATTCCGTTTGTATTCCTGTGTAAGGGAATAATGACAATTTAATGTCATCCTAAAGATCCTAGGTAATCAGTCTTTTTCTTGAACACCCAGCAATTTGTTCATTCTCGGCTGATAAATTGCAAGAATGCTTAATCCAATTACCTACTAGTCACTTGTAAATTGATTTGTTTTGTTACTTCCCTCGGAAGGTGATGCTGTGGAACTTGCAGAAAACCCGCCCTCTTTGGACTGTGAACCTTCAGGACCTAGTGCAAGAAGAGATGGAAGAAATGCAGCAGGGAGCTGGGTGTCAGCTTTTCAATCCACCACTGGCCCACTTCACAACAGTTGCCAGTTGTGGCAACATATTTGGCTGTGGGGCTGAAGATGGCAAGATACGGTTATTCAGAGTGACGGGAACAAGGTTTGAGTTGGAATATGGGTTCCGTGGTCACAGTTTGGGTGTTTCTCAGGTTCATTTTCTGAACTCTTTTTCTCACCCGTATTGGCTGATTTCTGGAGGGAATGATGCAATTGTCAGACTGTGGGACGTCAGTGAGCAAATCATAACTGATGTCAAAGTCCCTTTAAAATCGTCTGGGAAAAAATCAGTTGGCTCCACTTCTAAGAAAGGTCTTGGGGTTGGAAGAAGTGACCGTGATGCAAAAACCTGTAAAGAAAATAAATCAAATTCTATTTTGCCAAAACTCAGTATTGACCATGGAGAAAAAGTGAACTGGATTTCTGCTGTGGACATGAAAGGCTCTGAGTGTGTACTAGTTGCTGATCAAACTTGTCAGATATCAGTATATCCCCTCTCAGGCTTATAGGTAATGCAGTGTGTGATCATTTTCAGAAGATATTGTCTCATCTTTAATTGAAGAGCGAATGTAAACCTAAATTGTTAAGGGCTCTTATGATGTAATGGTTTGTCTCTGTCTCTGGGCCAGAAGGCCTGGGTTCAAGTCTCTCCTGCTCCAGAAGTTTGTCATGACATGTCTGAACAGGTTTGGTTAAAAATATCTAAAACTAAATCAGTGGAGTTCCAGCAGAGTTTGGGGATGTTTTAGTTGAAACCCAGATATTCTTGGTGAAATTTGAGGGCTACCTGTGTGTACTTTCTTATCAACAGATTTGACATATTAACACTTTCACAATGGTTTATATAATGCAAAAGACTGTTAGAATAATCCAACAAACATTAGCCTCACAAGTTGGCAAAATTGTGTTCTTTCAATTCAAGGAATTAAAAACGAATCATATTTATGCAGGTTTTTACTTTAAAACTTGGAGTACATAAGTGTATTTGGAGTTTAAAAATCTTTTAAATAGCTACTTTGAGAACGCTAAGAGGGGTCCCCTTCAAACTGGGAATACTGAAGAGCAACTAAGAGATCGCTGGGAATGTTTCTCTGGAATCGGGAAGCAATAATTGTAGTTCTGTGATCAGAACACTGAAAATGTGAACTGGAAACTTTGGGACACTGAGAAAGACTTCAAATAATTTTAGGGAGGGAGGATCCTGGGATCCAGCAGAATTGGTGTTTTGGTGTATTGAGAGTTGTTGGTGTATGACACTATTCAGTAAACAAGATATTTTTCCTTGAAACATTTTAGGATCAAAAATTGTTTATCACAGACTTTAAGTGAAACTTCAATATTAGTTAAAAGGGATATAGTTAGAATATCCTTTGTTGAGAACTAAACCTCAATTAAAGAAATACAATTGTGGGTGCTGATTAATGATTTCTGTGAGCAGTTCGTCATCGATCATGAAGCAGAATATTGCAGTTGCTGAAAAACTGAAATAAAATGCTGGAAAAATCTCTAGGTAGCATTTGTGTAGCAAGAAAATAGGTAACATTTCAGGTGTAATCTTAAATCAGAATTGAAAAATGGTTGATATGTAGTGGGTTTTGACCTGGGGTGAGTAGTACAAGGAGGCTCTGTGATAGAGTGAAAGACAGGAGAAATTGACTAACACATGAGTTAGTCCTCCAGGGCCAAAGGGTAAGAGCAGGACATGGCACAGGTACAGCAATCAATGTTTGGCGGGGGGGAGCGGGGAAGAAATACATTGAGAGAGAGAGAAGCCTGAAATAATTCAACATATCGTCCAAAAGGGAAAGGCATATCTAGGACTACTTTTTGAAGCAATTGAGTGCAATTTACGAATGAGAACAAGCTCAGCCAGACAGATGGTGGTGGTAGCAGATGGGAAGTGATTGATCCTCTTGAGAAGAGGTGGACACCCCTCTAGCTGTCATGATATGTGGAAGATACAGAGGGATTGAACATCCATGATGAAGAAGGGACAGAACCAGGAAATTGAAACTTTTAAAGTGATAGGGGGCATCAGAAGAGTAATAGGTGTACATAGAGTAAGACTAGATGATGGGAGAAAAATAGTCAAGATAAAAAGAAATTTGTTAATTGGGGCAAGAACAGGCGGAAATACATCTTCAAGGGCAGTCCAGTAGAAGAAATCTGTATGGCGTTAGGGAATGATGAGGTGGGAAGCCACGGGTGCAAGATCCACTCTATCACCATAGAACCTTACTGTGTAAATATAGGAGATGTAATACTTGCCTTTTTACTTTGTCTCTTCTTACCAACTAAGGTTCCACACATTCCTACATGAAATACAATTTATGTGAACACCTTTCACACCAGTTTACTATATTCCCTGCTCACAGTGTAATGTTCTCCATACTGGGGAGATCAAATGCAGTTTGCGAGACTGCTTTCCTGAACACCTCCGTTCTGTTTGCAAATGTGATTATAAATTTCCATTGTTCTGTCATTTTAATTCATGCCTTTGCTTTTATGCTGACATTTCTGCCCTTGGTCTACTCTTCTATTCCATTGAAGCCCAACATCAGCTTCAGAACCAGCCCCTCATCTTTGGCTTAGACACTTTATAGCCATCTGGACTCAAATTTCAGTTCAACAATTTCAGATCATAAACTCTGACCCCATTTTATTTCCTTTCTTTCCTCATTTGTGTTTTTATATCAGTCAGCAGCTTATCTACTTGAAGCACATCTTTTGTTTCCTTTCTTATCCCATCATATTCCCTTTGACCATAGAGGACAACTCTTATGTCGGTCAATCTCTGTTGTCTTCCACCTGATCAAAGATTTGACTTTGTCCCACCCAGCCCTTGGTTAAGACTTATTATATCTCGTAAGTTTGCTGAGTTCTGATGAAAGGTCACAACTTTAGTTCTCTACACTGATGCTGCTTAACCTTGAGATATTTCCCCAGAATGTTGTTTTTAATTTATAATAATTGTGTTTATTAACCATGTTGGAGTTGCTGAAATAAAACTTAGAGAACTCAATCTCGTAATCCTTTCAAATCTGTTCTTGGGAATATGATGACCTGCAAAAGTTCCAGCAGTTGAAGGGGCACATTGTTTTCCTTCAAGTCGTGTTGATCCATAATTTGTGCAATGGGAAATTGAATAAACCGCATATGTTCAGCACACATAGATGTTTTGGAAAAGTCCAACTATTATCAGGTACAATTATCATCTGGTTGAAACCAAGGGTTTTGAAACCTGCTAGTGTTTTGGAGTAAGCATTTGAGTGCAAATAAAGCTTGAAATTTAAAACTACATAATGGAGTTTGTGTGTGTGCGTTTTTTAGAATTTCCTAATTTCCAGTGCAGCATTTAATTTACATATATAAATGACCATACCTAATGCCCATTTTCATTCTGTCTCTCAATCATTGGGATATAGGGTTGAATCCTGGCAGACAAATACCTCACCTTAACACATTACTGAAACAAGAGATGTGGGCCCTATGATCTTAACAGACTATGAAATACCAACCAGCTTTGACTGTTTATCTCAGCCATACAGCTTAAAATCTGGGTAAAAGATTCTGGGGCCTTAAGTATGAAGCATGTTGACAAAGCTGCAGAGTATTGACTAATTATTTATTGCTGAGCTGAGTCATAAAAGTCTACAGCATGGGAAAAGGCCAATTGAGTCTGCACTAATCAAAAACAACCACCTAACTATTCCCATTTTCCAGCATTTGGCCTACAGCCTTGTATGACTTCTGTTAATTTTTGTGTATCCTTGATAATTTCGACAATATTCCCATTTGTCGTTATCCAAAACCACACACTCATCACATATTTACAAATAATAACGCAGCCATAGCTGAGCTAGTTGCTGACTTCTGAGAATCCAACATAGAATATTTGACAGAGCTGTGACAGTAGGCAGGATGTTCCCGCAGTTCTGTGTCACTTCTTTTATATCATGGTAGTGTTTTTTTTTTCTCTCAATCTCATGAAATTCTCTTCCAGGCACAGCTTTGTGTCTTTGTAGCTTGTGTTTCCATTTTAGGACTTTATCCATTATTCCTCTTTTCCTTTGATCTGAGACTTGCATCATGTTATGTATGACCACATGGATTAGGAGCAGATGTAGACCATTCAGCCATTTGACCCGATTGATAGATTTGTACTTTGAATTCCAGATTCCCAACTACCCCAGATAACTTTAGACTCTCTTATTAGACAAGGGAATCAATCGACCTCTGCCTTAAAAACGCTCAATTACCCCACTTCTACTGCCTTATGTAGTAGAAAGTTCCAAAGTGTCTCAAGCTCTAAAGAAAAATAACTCTCCTTATCTCAGACTCAATTTTAGAATATTGCTCCTAACTCTGAACTCACCCATAAGAGGAAACATCCTTTTCACATCCAATTTGTCAAGACCATTTAGGATCTTATACATTTCAATCAAGTCACCCTTCACTCTTCAAAAACACCAGAGGAAACAAGCCTGTTAAATCTTTCCTTAAGTAAGGAGTCCAAAAGTGGACACTGTATTTGAGATGTGGTCTCACTAATGCACTGCATAATTGAAGCATAACATCTTTCTGTTCATAATATTTGATTTGACACCTTACCAAATGTTCTCTGGAAATCAAGTGCAGTATGACTACAGACTACCTTTAATCTGCAGCACATGTTACTCCTTCAAAGTATATTGGTGAAACATGATAAAACCATGCAAACTCTTCCCAACAAAGCCAAAGAAGTGTGGATGTTGGAAATCAGAAACAAAAACAGAAATTGTTGAAAAAACAACAGACCTGGAGCATCTGTGAAGAGAAAGCAAAGTTAACATTTCAGGTCCAGTGACCCTTCTCAATTTCCTTGAGGTTTATCTAAGTGCCCAGCTTTAACCTTTTAAGTGATTGATTTCATTTCTGGATGTCAGATGTCAAGATAGTTTATCTGTAGTTTCCTGCTTCCCTCCCTTCTCAAATACAATGCTGATATTTCCCTTTCCAGAATCTAGGGAATTTTAGAAAATCAACACCGATGCATTGTTCCACTTTATTATTCACTACTTTTAAGACTCTAGGATGAAATCCATCAGGACTCAGAGACTTGTCAGCCAAAGTTCCATTAGTTTGCTTAGTTTCACTTCTCTGGTGATTGTTATTTCACTAAGTTTCTCTTCCCTCCACTTCCAGGTTTACGGCCATAAACAGAATTATTTTTGTTTCCTCTATAGTGAAGCCAAAAACAAAATATTTGTTCATTCCTTCTACCATTTCCATATTGCCTACTATCAAGTCCCCAATCTCACTCACTTTACACACTGTTTTCCTTTTTAAATATCTGTAGAATCTCTTGCTATCCATTTTTACATTTTTAGTTAACTTCCTTTCATATTTTAATTTTGTCTTCCTTATTAATGTTTTTGTCATTCCTTGCTTTTTTTTATTCAGATCATCTGACCTGCCATTCATCTTTGCAAAGCTATATGTTTTTCCTTAAATTTTATGCCTTCCCTAACTTTGTTTAATCACAAATGGCAGGTCTTCCTTTTAGAATTTTTCCTTATAGTAGAAATTACTTATTCTGAGCATTTTGTTAAAAGTCTACCACTGCATTTCTATTGATCTATGTCCCAGCCTAATGTTCAATTCACATCAGCAACTCAGCTCTCATGCCCACATAGTTGCTCTTATTTAAGTTTAAAATACTAATTCTATACGCAGTCTTCTACCTTTCAAATTGGATGTAAATTTCAGTCATACTTTGGTTGCTGCAATCCAGGGTTACTTTTACTCTGAGATTATTAATTAATCCTGTCAAATTATACAACACCAAGCCTAATATAGCCTGCTCTCTGAACGGTTCCAGTACATGCTGCTTTAAGAAACTATCTTGAAAATATTCTGTGAACATCTCATCCAGTCCAGTACCGCCAATTCGCTTCTTCCAATTTATGTGTAGATTAAAGTCATGGTTAACACCTTTATCAACAGCATCCCATTTTTGCCTTGGTTACTGTTTGGGGGCCTGTTGACCACTCCCACTAAAGACCTTTTTCCCCCTTCTATTCAGCTTTGCCCAAATTAATTCTATGTCTTGATTTCCTGAACTAAGATCATCCCTAACTATTGTACAAATTACATCCTTGAGTAACAGTGTTACCTTTCCATCTTCACCTAGCTTTCCATCCCTCTTGAATGTCTATACCCTCCAATATTCAGGGATGGAATCCTTGTGATGTGCTGCCATGACTCTAATGGCTGTCACAGTTTATGCGTTGTCAATTTGTTCAGTCGAATGCTACGCACGTTCAGATACAGAGCCTTTAGTTTTATCCTTTTGTAGCCCTCGTAACATCTAGTTTGATAGTTGATGCACTCTTAGATTTTATTATTCTCCCTCTCTCTTGTCAATCTTCCTGTCATTCTTTGATCCTCAGTTCTCATATTACTATTTTACCTTGTCTCTACTCTTTGACATGCCACATCTTTCCACAATTTGCCCCACTCTGTAATTTAAATCCCTCTACCTCCCTAATTATGTAATTCGCAAGAACACTGGTGCCAACAAGGTTCAGATGTAGACCTTCCCAATGGTAGAGCCGCCATTTCCTGCAGTACTGGTGCCACTAGACCACAAACTGGAGCCCATGTCTCCCACATCTGTCTTTCAGCCACTTATTCTTCTCTCTAAGTTTATGTACCTTATACCAAAATGCATACAACTCAGGTAATAGTTCAGACATTATACACTGTGAGGTTCTGCTTTTAAGTTTGGTACCTAGTTTCTTATATCGTGCACTGAGATATAAAAATCCAGTGGATTCTGGATTTGTTGTCCGACCTATATGGCCAGGTTAGTTGATCTCAGATAACTGCAGAGAGTCTGGGTTTTAATTGCTTTTCCATAACATCTGCTGGAATGCATGCCAACATGGACTTCATGAGCAAATAGAATGGAGCAATACTGTAATGCCAGCCACCCTTTCCAAAAAAAATGTAGAGCCTCCTGACATCCACAGTCTGAGCCACCCATAAAAAGTGCACGCTGTCAAGTGGCTACAGTTTGAAAAGTAATCTAGTATCCTTAGGGGGAAATATGGTTGTCTTGCTGAAGAAATATGGAGGAGAATTAACTAAACTGGGATTAATTAAGTTTGATTAGGCTATCAACGACATGTTTTCATTGGCCGCAAGTTTACCACTGCCGAGATTTCTGTCGGTGATATATGTGGACACCCTGCAAGGAATTGCTGGCATTTTTTGTGCCTGTTCCTTTTGGCTGCCTCCTTTGACAATATTAACCACCTGGTATATATAGTAAATGTTCACTTTGATCATTGAGGTTCAAGGCTCTACTTAGGAAATTCCATCATTTTTAGGTTTGCCAACAAGTCAAAATAATTTGCATTTATTCAGTGACTTTATCAGATCCCTTTGGATATCTTGTACAGATCACTTGTACAGCTGCTAATGTACTTCTAAAGTGGAGTCATTGTTGTAATGTAGAGAAATGCAGCAACCAATTCACACACAGCAAAGCCCCGCACACAACAATAGATGAGTTTGTGTTGGTGATGTGCTCATATAGCTTTTCTTTTGGACAGCCTCACTGCTCTTCTTTAAAAAGTAGCATATGATTTCCTACATCTACTTGTATTGACTGAAAGAAAGCAAAACCGAAAGTTTGGTATTAAAGTACCATACTAGATTGTGTGCCCAAATCTCTAGAATAGTATTTGAACCATAACTGATATGTAACATGCCATTGCAAACCAAAATCAAAACTGACACAGTTTATATCTTTACATCCTTCAGATGAAATATTACCTGTCAGCTTTATCTTCTTGTCCAGTTTGGCAGTAAAGATGCCATGGTATGGTTGAAAGAAAGAATGGAGTTTTCCTCCTTCCATGACCAACAACCCCTTTCAATCACAGCATCAGCAGATTAATAAATAATTCAACTCATTGCTGCTTATGGAACTGAGCTGACAAAATGGTTACCACAAGCTTCTAGTCTGCACTTCAATGTTATTTGCTGTATGTGAAGCATTTGGTACGGCCTGGAGTAGGTTCTCCCTAATAGGTTCTCTATATGCATTTAAAGTTTTAAAAATAACCACGTTTAATTATTTTATCAATTCAACATAAACTAATAAGCAACATTGAACACATTGAAAGAATGAAACTACAAATCGGCAGAGTGAAGTAAGGGAGTAAGCTAAAGCTTAGAAAAGAATCACAAATCTGTTACTGAGTTAAATAAAATTAAAACAAATTCATTCATTCACTGCTTTCAACATTTCGAAG